CCTCAATTGACACAGGAGCTTGGATTGGAGCTCGAAGAGGAGGTCGAGGGTGTCAGCGAGCCGCAGGAGTCCGACCAGGAGGTGCTCCCTGTGCTGATGGATGCGCTGACGTCGGCGCATCCGCCAAAGCGGCCTATGGGGAGCCCCAGCCGCAAGACAAAAACACGTCCTCCTGACGCCCCGGTTCCCGGCGTCCGGGATAATGACATACCTCCCCCAGAGCCGTCGCCTCGCCGTGAGTGGCTCGCCGACTCGCCGCCCCGCCCAAAACAAGTCCCTGATGTCATGTACGGCAGCCCCGCCGCAGCGCTGAGCCGCCACGCCCGTGTGCATCAGTGGGAGCGGGAGAAGCAGAAGGAGGCCGCCAAGGAGGTCCTCCGGTGGAAGAGGGAAGCCGTCAGCGCAGCCTTCTTCCAGAAGGAGAAGGAGGAGAGAAGAGCGGCTGCCATAAAGGCGGAGATCGATAAACTGTTCGCCCGCCACAAGAAGGAGATGGACCATTGGCGTGAGTTGGAGGAGAAGGACAAGGAGCGCAAGCGCCAATGCATGCACCGCAGACACCAGCAAAAGATGGACGACATCAAAAAGAAAGAGGCTCAGCAGGTGCGGCACACATAACGGACTGCATCTGGTTCCTCTATCTCGTGTGTGGTGCTGTGTCCCCATTGGGTGCAGTTTGTGCGCAAATTGACCAAGCTGAGAGGTGGGAGGCAGGCGAGACACGACACGGTGCCCTAGCGATGCTCCTGCATGTGTGTGCGTGTCTCATGTTTTGTCACCTCCCTGCCCCGTCCATCCACCAGAGGTTGAGCACGACAAGGCGTCAGTGCGGCACCGACCCCCCGCCACCAAGGAGCCCCCCGAGGCCGCCCCGTCTCATGAAGCAGGCCACCGTAGGCGGCTGCCCATCGCCGAGCTGCACCTGGATGAGCACGCCAAGGCATACGACAACCGCAAACACACCTCAAGCAAGGAGCAGCACCACAAGGCACCCTTTGGTGTCGGTGACGGCCATCGGCTGCCGCCCATCGCCCCCGACCGCTCTCGCGTCGCACAGCGGGTCATCGAGGCTGATCGCAGGCAGAAACAACAGGTCAGTCAGTCAGTCAGTCAGTCAGATGATTGGTGGAGAGGGCAACGAACGAGCGAGACACTAACTCGTGTGTATGTCGCGTCTCATGTCACGTCATGTGATGTGTATCGATCATCAGGCTGTGTTGCGTGCCAAGGAGGCTCGTTTTCGGCGGCAGCAGCAGGAGGCCTACGGGAGACTCGTCCAACAGTACTATGCACCTGCCCCCAAACAGCACCACCAACACCAGTCATTCGACCCGTATGGTGGAGGCTCCAAGCATGAGCTGACCTTCGAGTACCCTGTGTTTGGGCCTCGCCTGCCGCCTGTGTATGACCAACCGGAAGAGGACATCTCGTATCAGGAGCGGCCAGTCATGGCCGCCAAACCACCACCCATTGCTGTGT